AAAAAAAAAATTTGTCCCGACGACCTATCTTCTATACGCAAATGGCTACCATATTCAAAAATATGCTATTTTTGTATGAAAATTATGGGTTTTGTATTTTATTTTAATAGAAGTTGATGTTGCTTTTGCAATTATCCATCAATTTTTTAAAATTAAACACTATCTACAGATTTGCATCGAAGCGTTTCTTATGATAGTGATTTTAATCACTGTCAGATTAAATCTATACTGAACCCAACTATGCAATGTCTCCACTATGCCGCGACCCCACTGTGCTACCGTTTTTTTAATATAGAAAAATTATGATTATTAATTTATGAATTATTAATAAAATTAGTTACAAAAATGATTATGAAAATTGATCAATCAAAAAGCCAGAGAAGGGAACTACTCCAATGTATGGAAATCCATAATACAAAACTGTTAATTTTAGCCTATGATTANAAATCCATAATACAAAACTGTTAATTTTAGCCTATGATTATTAGGTTGCCTAACATATAATCCTAAATTTTAATTAATTTCTATGATTATTATAAATTGACCTTAAATCATTAAATATTTCCTTCCTCAAAGTATCTAAATAGTATATATTTTATGCCCATTATTAACTTATATTTTTTTTAATTTTATTTATATAATCTCTTCAAAATAAGTCCAATAAACATAAAATATGTAACTATTAACCAAATAAAAAATGTATTTTATAATTAATGACAATCTTGTTGCATAGTGACACACTAAGAAATTCAACTAATTATTAAGTTTATTTTGTAAATTACTATGATAACCATGACTATACGTTTAAAATATAGGTAAAATAACACGTTTTAAATATAATTTCAATTAAAATGTTAAAAAAAAGTATTACGTTATTTTTTAAGTCTATGGTCATTATTCAATGTTAATACTCATTATATCGCTAAAATGATGAGTACTAAGGATCTAAAATAATTAAATTATTCCATAAAAATAATTATTGTTGATTAGTTTCTCTTCAATAGCCCGAATGAACTATAGTGGATTTTTTAGACGAATAACTCAAATATAGAAGTTTCCCAGGAAATTGTAAAAGGAGAAAATAAAAAAAAATTTCAATTTATTCTCATTAAAAGAGGACAATATTCATCTTGCCATACAATTAAATTCATCATTGAGGGTCCTATCCTAATATGCTGAAAAAACTTCAGTCATACATTTTTTTTATCAAAATTATCCAATAATATTTTTGTTAAATAAATAGCATATTTTAAATAGAATATTTTTTAAGTTAAAACAATTTTTCACTCTTCAAACAAAAATAATCAATGGTTAAAAATTTGAAAAAAAAAATAGTTAAATATACAAAAAAGTATGATATATTTAAATACCAATAATAATAATTAATCTAATTATTAATTTAGTTAAAAGACTCATCAGTTATAATTTGTGTTTGAAACATGCAAACAAAATGTAAAACCGTATTAATACGTATTTTATTAAAATAAATTTTTTCGTAAGTTGAAATTTTATAACAATTAACTTGAGAAATAAAAATTTTTTTAACAATAAATATCAAGTTCAATCTTCAAATACTTATAACTAAATTCAATTAAGTTTATATTTGTTTTTATATAATTTAGATGAGCTTTAAAGTAATTTAATAACTAAGTAACAGAACATATAGCACTTGATTTTTGAAAATGATTAATGTGATATCCGTTTTGATTAATACTTGTACTTAACATTAAGGAATAATAATGTTAAATTTATAATTATAATTTGTTTTCATTATGAAAATAGTATTTTTCATTTCCACTAAAATATTCATTAGTTAGTTTTTAATGCACAACTATCCTATAAATGAATATTATCTTTGAACAATTGAATGTTGGATAGTTCGCTAAAACTAAAGTTATTTTCGACTACAACTATATACATATATCTTATACATTTGTTTGACGAACTAATAAATGATTACTATGTCTATTTGTTATTTATTTTTAACGATAGTATTTGTACAAGAATTGTTGAGCTCGAAAGCAATATAATACACATGCATCAGACATTATTGAACATATTGGAAGGGAAAATAAATAATTTGTAACGTAAAATAGTTTTGTGGTTAGTTTTTCATTAAATTTCAGCAGTTGGTATTTTTGAAGTTTCTCTAATATAGAGTAATGTCATTATAACTTTTCTTAATGACCATGCAATAACACTTCATGGTATAAATCTTTAAAATAATAATTTTTAAAAATATAAGATGACTAATACAACAAAGTAAATATACAGGAAATTAAATGTTCAATTGTCTCGATTTTTATTTATCTAAGAACAAATTAAACTTAATAAAAGTTCAATAGTAAATAAGTAATAGTTAAAAGCTCAAATGATAAGTTCAAAATGGAAAAATACCACAAATAAAGATTTTTAAATTAATTATCCGTATAAAATTATTTGCTCATTCTTATTGAATTTCTAAGAAAAATATAAAAAAAAGTTGTCCGAGTTGCTTATTTTTGTTTTTCTTTCAAATTCTTATTTATTATACCAGTGTGACGTAATGACCTTTATAATTGATAATAAACAAGTTGAAGGTTCATCATTAAAGCACAGAATAAATTTAATGTCGTTTAAGTCGTTTACGTACTTATATTATTTTTATCATTATCATTATTATAATGAACTCACTTAAAAAATACTCCGTAGATTATATTAAAATAACTAACACTCTTAAATATATACCAATTTTCACAAACATATAGAGGAAGTTTTTGACTCATACGACGTATGGGAATTTTTGATACTTTAGTTATATTTTTTTTATAAAGAGAATTTAGCACTTTCATATTAATATTTCACTGCTTGTATTTTAAATTATTGAGTATATTAAAAATACCATATTGGTGTATGGGAATATTCGAAATGAATGTTACAGTGAAAATATATATTTTTATTAAAAAACTGCAATAACAATTAGTAATATTTCTAGTTATATTTTTTTCTCAAAAAGTGCTAATTGCGCTTATGAAATGAGGTTCGATTATTGTTGTACATACCATAACTAAAATGATGAAAAAAATAATGATTATTGTGAAAATCTCTTATACTTTTAATATTATTAAATAAAAATATTTTAATTAAAAACATTTTAAAATCGAGGTGAATATAGTTTCAATTGTTCATATTTTTTTTTAAAAAGAATGTAAACTATTTGAAAAAATTTAACTAAAATGTGATATCTGTATCATGGCATCCAAATTATTTAAAAAAATATATAAAATGTTTTTTTTAAAAATTTATTAAGTTGAAACCAGATGAAAGTTATCTAAATAAACATTAAAATCATTACTTTAATATGAATCAGGGGTATATCTAATGGATGATCTTTAGATAATTATTTCCTAACTTCATATAATTTTCTATGATAACCTCGTTATCACACCACAGATAGGAATTTGTCAACCATTCATATACTTTTAAGTTGAACAAATGAGAGTAACTTTTTTACAAATTTTTTTAGCACAAAATTGATTAAATAAATTAACATTCTTTTGTGAGGTACTATTAGTAGTTTTTAAATGTAAAATAATTGAATTTCAGATCCTTGATTATTCTGGAAAAGGAAACATAGCCGTTACTACATCAAAAAAGGATGGATTGGGATCGTTTTGTGGTGAAATAGAACAACCTCAAACATTTTTATCAGAGACTAGTTCCGTGAGAGTTATATTTCAAACAGATAATTATACAGATCAGACGTATTATAGTTTTGACTCAAGAGCTGAACAAGAAACTCAAGTTTATTTGAGATATGGACAACATCCAGAACTTTACCCAAATAGGAGAGGCATACTAAGTCCAGGGTTCGACAATAATATAACAACAATCATAGAGGGAATTAAAAAAAAAAATACTTGGGGCTTATTATAATAAATGAATTTTTATTTATTACATAGAATTAAAATAAAAATGTTTAGAGAGGCTTAGCCTGTAAGGCTCATTCCAAACTTTGCTTATGATTATAATTAAAACATTTAATAACAAAATCGTGTATTAAATGGCATAATGATTTTAATTTTTAATAATTTCTAGAACTTATTGTGATAGAACTTTCAAAGAGTGTCGTTTACAAACGTGTTACGTTCAAAGTCCAGCCTATCCTGGGGTATATCCGAGAAATTTGCGATGTAATTATTGGCTAAACACAAAAAATCCTTTTATTAAATTATACATACAAAACGAAGAGTTTAATGTTGATGGTCAAAGATGCGAAAACATAATTACTTGTCCCATGAGACCAATAACATCAGGTATAATTTTCTCATTATTTTAACGAATATGAGCACAATCAGTGTAGAAAATACTCATCATGATACCTCCCTAAATAAATGCAATGTTATTGTTTATTATTTAATTTGGGTATCGTATCACCGTATTGTAATATGTAGATAAAATGCGGATTAAATTAATTGTTTCTCAAATTTAGAGTTTTGAGAATAAAACTGAATATACGATAAGTAACTATTGTAAAAGAATTATCAGATTATACTCATTTACATTTAAGTTATTCACTCATTAAAAAAAAAAAATTTGAAAGTATTAATGAAAAAAATTAATTTTACATTAAATTACTAATATTTCATTAAAAAGTTTTTAAACAAAAAACTAACTTTAATTTTATAAAAACAAATTATATATTGAAACTATTTCGTCAAATTATAATTTTCAATTCATAATGCGATACCAATTCATTATCTAAATAATTTGAACTATTTTTACGGCTAACTTAATATAATTTTAGGAGCTGAATATTGTCCATACGATTACATAAAAATTTACGATGGTCAAAATGCATCTAGTCCAGAAATTGGAACATTCTGTGGTATGGGAAAATTTCCTCACTCGATTGTTGGTACAAGTGAAGATTTATTTGTAGAATTTGTTACGTCTCCAGCTGGTAATTTATATTTTCATTTTCTTAAACTTTTTTAATAAGTTAAATTTTATTATGTTAATGATATTGGTGTCGTTTATTTATGATTAAAGTGTTTTAAGTTAAGAATAACTTTCTGAATAGGTCCACTTTTAAATACTGGTTTCCATTTTAATGTTGGTAATATGCCGGGTCATGTACAAACTGCAGGAAAAAAAAGTGGAGCTTGTGATTGGATTTTATCCAGTGAGCATTTAGTTGGAGGTCATCATACTGAGGGCATCTTTATGTCAATTGCTCATTGGTATCCTCCACATACTTCTTGCACGTATCATATTATAGGCCTTCCTCAACAAATAGTACGAGTGTACTTTCCAAGGTAAATGTTCATAGGAATAATGCGAAAAAAATGTTGAGCTAAAATTTATTAGTAGAATTAATTATTGAAAAAAAAAAATTATTATGACATAAATATATTCGTTATATTATCTGTTATACAGTTTTCGAGTAAATAGTATTGAAAGTCCTGTTACAAGCGATTGGAATGGCGACTGTGGAGAAAGTTTAACCCTTTATGATGCAGCAGGGCCGGACGATACTAAAATTATTAAGACATTTTGCGATACTTTTTCTAAACCAGCAGAAAAACATGATTTTGTTTCTACTGGAAATTCAATGTTCATACGATTTGAAAGCAAGACTGGAAGTTATTCTGGGTATTTATGGATTTCTTTATTTATAGTTATTGCTTTAAACTTAAGGAATATTTTACAATAATTTATCAATATGTTCGTTTTTATATAAGGTAATTTATACAGTCATGAATATTTATTTTGTTAGCACAGAGTTCTTAATATTTTTAAATGTAGACTGGAGATGAGGTGTGAGTAATGTTATTTTTATAACTACGCATCCCTCTGCCACGCTACTCCTCCCACCAAGGTGTAAAAATATTCATAACTCCTGAACTACTGGTTTAAAAGTTGTTAACGACCAGTTTTTTTCTTAGTTGGGTCATTTTCTATTATATAAATTAATATGTAAGTTGCCATTTAATAAAATTAAGTTAGTACCGTTATAAGGGTATAAACTAAAAATATATTTAACCACTCAAAAATCGAGAAATAAATACTACTTAAATGAGCAAAAAAAAATCTTTAAATTATTACTTTAATAGTAATTTAGTAATTAACGATAAATCAATCATTCTATACATTTTCGATAAAAATTATCGATTTTTTAGTTTTTTGCACAGTATTAAAATATTTTCATCATTCTCAATTATATCAACCTAAAAATTATTTAATCTACTGTATGATTAAAAAAAGACGTATCAATGGCTTGTTTTGGATAAACAATTACCGTCTAAAGTTGAAAATAATGTAATTTTTGTTGCATATCATATATATTATACGTATCGAAACATTATATGATAGTTATTTCCATTATCATTCACACTAAAAAAAATATCTCGTGTCCACTTGGCTAAAATATTTTTTTTTTGTTAAGTTCGTCACTGTATTATTGGGCTCATTACGATTTCTTCAACAATACTAAATTCGGAACTGCTGTACCAGATACGGCTTGTGACGAAGAGTTTGTTAGCTGGAAACCCTCCTCTGGTTACTTGCGATCTCCCGTAAACACTCTGGTATACAAGCGTCAAGGATCATCTGTAGATTTTGATTCAAAATCCCATCCTATCATCTGTCGTTATAGGTTTACAACAGATACAAGACTTTACGCCCGAGTTGTACTCAGAATCGAATCAATTCGATTTAAGGTAAACTTTAATTATTAGTAAAAGCGGAAATAATTTTTAATGTAGAGATAAGAAAACTACTACTTTTATTAACCGCTCAAAATACTATTGATCTAAAAGTTTATATACATCTTTATACATTGTAAAAATAATAATTATAGAAATATATAGAAATTTTCAATTAAAAACCTAATTTTTTTGTTATGTTATTTGACCGACACTAGTTCATACAATACATGATAAATAATATTTTTTATAAAACTTGAAATATAAATTTGAAAAAAATTTCCATTATATTTTATAAAATAAAAAGTTATCCAAGAATATATTCGATTTTATGTATAAACAAACAATATTTTAATAATTCAAACTTTCGCTTTAAAGATTTTTTTAATACTAAAATTGAAACTAAAAAATAAAATAAAAATTTGAGAAGTTTTGTTTAATATGATAGTGTATATTTTTAGGCTCATGCTTACAAAACACCACTAGAAAAAGATAATAATTGTTGGTATAGTGAACGGGACAAATTATTAGTGTGGGAACCGGATGATGGCGATGAAGGTTTTAACCTTTCAACCATAGGTCGACTCGCCTCGCATAAAAAAGACGATGGTTTGTGCTTGTATGAAAACTTTAACAAATCTTCAATATCTTCGAACACTCTAAAGCAAGGCATTAAATATGTATCGACCGGCAACACCCTAAATGTTGAGCTGAGTGTAAATGCAGAGTTTGCTGCTACTAGTTATTTTAAAGATGAGTCCCCTCTTTTTGAAGCAAGGTACGAATTCGTTCATGGCCCCCTATGTGGTCCTTCTATTATTCAACCAGTCGAAGAAGGTCAGTTAATATTTCCTCGATATGATGCGATGGGATTCATGGAGCCACCAAATAATCTCGAATGCATTTGGGAAATAAGAGTGCACGATGAAAAAGACTTGTGGTTACACTTTGATCAGGTTGGTACTAATTCTTTTGCACGTATTTACCATAACGAAACTTCCGCGTGCCAGTAAACACAAATTGAATAATAACTATAATTATAAGTATATGAGTATAGATTTGGGTCGGAAATCATTAGTACACAAAAATAAATAAATAAGTTTACGTTTTGGCAATAAACAAAAGTCGTGTTACTCTTGAAAACTAATGAAAAACAAAAAATATTTAAATTATATAAAAATAATATTATTAACTACTTGAAATATTATTTCATAATGCTTTTTAAATATAAAAAACAACATAATAATGTTTATAAGTATCATATACCTCATTATAGAAATTAGTAAATACGATAAACATGAAATAAATGATACTTTCTAAATTGAGAAGGACTTAACAGTTACAATAAACAAAATTATACAGCCGCGTTTATACTACTCAAGGCTAAACGAATCGAATCACGCGATAACTGGCAATCAAAATACAGTACCGACAAGTAATTTATCGTTTATGACTAACTTCGCAAAAAATTATGATACATAAATATTTATTAACTTTAAATAGATACATTTATCATATTACAAATAATTAATTAACTTTATGAGGTGTTATTAAATTATTTCCCATGTATTTATACCATTTTTTTAAATGTTATTAATTTACCACAGTTTAATTATTAATTCAATTTAAATAAAGAGTAATTTACATTTATTATTTTTAGCCAAGATGCAATTTTGAGAAGGTATCGGTTTTAACATAATGTACGCCTTCGTTGTCTACCGATGAAAATTCACAGCACTCGCTGGACCGATTTTGTCGATTTATATGTCAAAAGAACACGGTTTTAATAAATTTAAACCAGCCAATACCAAAAATTTGAAAACAAAGTATTTTAGAAATTGAAAAAAATTCGATAACATAAAAAATTGAATTTTCAATTTTTTTTCCTTCATTGTAAAACTGCTAAACTTTTTTTTTATTTAATCCTAAAATATAGAGTACTTTATTAGGGTATACCAGGAATAATAAACCTTGTTTTAATATAATTTGTATGAAAATCCAATGAAGAACCTAAATTGTGAAATTATAAAAATACAAATTATTGTGAAATTTAACATAGTCGCATCGAAGCGATTTTTATGATAGTGATATTAATCACTGTCAGATATATAGATATACTTGTCTCTACTACGCTGCGTCCCCACTATGCCGCGACTCCATTGTGCTGACTTTTATATTATTTGAATTTTAGAAATATTAGAAAAAGTATTATAAATCATAAGAAAAAAATTAGTAATTCTTATTTGTGGTATAAATTTTGCTTAGAAATATAACGTGTACATTGTAATTTGTTAAAAATACTAACCCGTTTTATCGTAAAATAATGATATTTTTTTATAAAAGTATACACATTAAAATTGATTTTATTTTTATATACTTTGATAAATATCAAGTTTATTGACAAAATAAACTTTCTTCTAAGGGTTTTATGAGTATTTTCAATTAATCACAGCGCATAATATATACGTATATATTATGCAATGTAATAACATACAAAATTCAATTGCTAATAGTCGTGTGCGATGCGATTCATTTATAAGTGGTTTTAGAACTTTTTTAAAATAATAATTAATAGAATAAAAAATAATAGTTTTAAGTTATAAAATTGTCTAAATTCATTAATAATTAATGTATTAATTGATTAAGAAATAATAATTTTTTTTTTTTTTGATTTTCAGGTGAAATTTATTGCAGAAGAATGTGCAGATGGAAGATTAGAAATATACTTACCATCTTTATCACTAGAGAAACCGTTTATGTCTGTTTGTGGCCACAATGTCAGTAAGCTTTTAAAAAGTCAACCAATCATGTTGACAGCTAAAGACTTAGAATCTGTAAAAGTCAGCCGGGGTGATTCTGGGCATAATCGTTATGTACAAATACGATTTTTCGGCAGTTCATATCCCCACAAAACCGAGTTCAAAATAGTGTGGACTGAACTAGCCCATAAATCTCGTAATATCGACAGTGCCCTCGCAGCAACAGCGGCTAATCTTCAAGATTCCTGCTCGTTCTTTTGCCCTGAAGATAAAAGTGTTTGTTTGCCAGACAGACTGGTTTGCAATGGAGTGGTCAATTGTCCTGGATCGATCTCATATAATGACGAGTCTAAAGAAGTGTGCGACCAACGCAATCTGAAGTTATTTTTTCCAATACACGTAACATCAACGACGTTATTATTTGTCATTACGTCTTCTTTAGTCATTTTTTTCATCGTATTGTCTATTGCTATCAGCTGTCGAAGACGACGTTCTACCATCAGAACTTTTGACTGAAGTAATTGTTCATTTTTAGATTCAAAATTTATACATATTAACTTATTTATCATTGAGCCATTTGTGCAAACAAGTCTAAATTTGATGAGATGTTATTAGGATTTAACAGTTATCAATTGTAGTTTTAATATATTTTTCTTTTGAGAAGTGTCCATACTGCGATTTAATATTAATATTAATGTCTTTTTGCGAACTATTGTCAAAAATGAAAGAATGTGTGCTTTTGTATCTAAGCGGTCTGTATGTTTCAGTCGGGTACCTATTATGTATCGAAAGGCATTCTACCAAACTATAAAAATTTTCCCGTCTTTTTAAACACAAATATAAAATTAATTATTTAAGAAAATGTCAAAAGTCATTTGATAAAAGGACCCGTAAACTTTTTGCCATAATATGTTTAAATTTCGTGATTATAATAGAATATTATTCTTTTATCGACATTAGCTTTTATAAAGAAAACTGATTTAAAAATGTGTAAACTGTTAATCAATATCTGTGTTATTAGTTTTAACTCCTAAAAATTATAATTAATTTATAAGAAGATAGGTAGTCTTAACTTAACATGAACATTTAATATGGGCTGAGACAAAATGTGGCCGTATAACTGGTTTTTTCACAACAGTTTTAAAAATGACGTCAAATAATTGGATTTCCCAAAATTCTGTTTTGTATTCCTTTTTACTTTCTTATTTAAACAATTTTAATCACTAATGAGGGCAATCAAGAATTAAATTTAATAGATGTAAGAATAAATAAACATGAATTTTACATATTTAAAATTAAGTCCCAGTATAATGCTAAACAATTAAAAAAAACTTATGACATCTATTTTATCAAGACATATATTTTTCTAAACAATTGTTTGCGCAAATTTGAAACCTGCATTTAAATTTATTGATTACCTCTAGTTTTTGAAATAATTAATGGTCGCTTTTACATTGCAAAAGTAATGTAATATGTGGTAATCATATTTTTTGTAAAAATTAACTTAAAAAGACTAAAAAAATAGTTTGATAGGTATGATATATTAAATCAAAATATGTGCACAGATTATTTTCAACATATTAAAAAATTAAAAATGATAATTATTTAAAAAAATGGTCTCTTTAATTAATCTTTTATTTGTAATTAGTTCAAAAGCTAAAGATGATAGGAAAAATATTGTTGCAGATTTGAAACCACCTCGAAAAATCGGTTTAGTAAAGCATACATATAATAATTTTTTGATGAAACATTTTTTATGTAATTTTTTTACTTTATATTTTATTATATTATACCTCATTCGAGTATGCTGTTAAAATAATGGTATGTAAATGAGTTTCCATTTGTATTCAGCATCTGTAGTACTATAATTTTATCGTGCTTTTACCATTTATATTTATTTTCCTTTAGATTCAAAAATGATTTATTAATATACACAAATTCAAATATTCTCGAAAGAATTAACCACTGACTCACTTAAATACTACACGCTTTGGAATACTGAGACAACTTGCAAAGATAATATATTTAAGTAAAACCAAACCCTATACGTTTCATAATAATACATCAGTATTAACTAAAAAAATTATTTCAAGGCTTATTTAGAATTGAAAAAAAATAATTAATAATCAATTATTAAGTGCTTAAGCTTATGATGATTATCGATAAACAATTTAATAAAAGGATTATTATCAATATAATTTTAACATAATAATACAGCACATTTTTTTATATTTTTTCTAATGATTATGTAATGTACATGTCCCTCATGAAAAAAATTACATTATAATTTTGAAAATTATAATTAGAGATAGTAAAACTATACTTACTTCAATTTTAAAAAATAATCAATCAAAAAAATTGTGTAGATCCAATACCAAATTGAAAATTAATTTATAACTGTTAAAAATTAATATAACTCAAAATTCTATTGATATTGTATATTAATTAATATATTTTAATATAATTTTATCATTTTTTTTCATTATTATTATTAAAATATTGTTAGAAAAAAATAAAATTTAACTCAATTAAAAAATAATTTTTAGTATTTTCGAACTGTAGTAAACTTTTTGTGTCTACATCGGAGTACTACTGACGTACGACAGAACTAAACAATAAACATTTTCGATCCATTTTTCAAACTATGAAAATATAAAATTCGTATATTTTGAATGCAGTTTTATAGTTTTATAATATTATATTTTTAATAATCAAGTTTTTAATAGCACTATTATAATTAAACATGACATTTTAAGCAAATTTATTATAACTTTTTAATAAACTATTTATTAATAAGAGATTAAATAATTAGAATAAATTAATATGTAATAATAATTAAATAAAGAATAGTAAATTTTTAAAATATAAATTAAATTTAATAGTAATTCTTACTTTCTATGTACCATGTATATTAATTTATGATACATTAAAATGCTAATTAAGTTCACTAATCAAATATTTTATTAAAATTTAATAAATAATTTTATATATTATTTCCAAATACACCAGTTAACCTCTAAATGAAAGATTGTTTATATATAAATTTATTTTTTTTAGTTTGCATAATTTTAAAGTAAAACACACATTTAGTTTATAAAAAACTAAGTAGAAAAATATATTTTTCAGGGATACTGAAAATACACTCAGAAGTGCAGTATATACTCAACTTAAGTAGAACTTTTCAGCGAGAATATTTTGCAGGACTTCAAAAAAACTTTGCACTTCGGTTTTAGACAAGAGGAAATATGATCATTATAAAAACTAAAAATTATGCTCATAACTTTTCAATTTTGTTGAAAAATATATGTTTTATTAAGAATTAACAATGTAAAATGTGAATATTTTTTTAAATATATAATTACACATGAAAAGCTGTTTTTTTTTCGATTTTTTTAGCTTCAAAGATTTATATTTATTATTAATATTTTTATTTTTTAATTTATCTCTTAAAAGATAGAATAATGCTTATTACCACAATAATAGTATAATATAAAAATAACGATAAATCGATATAATTTTTTGAGATTCAACTAACTTTTGATAATTTATTTAAATATTTAAATATGAATAATAATTTATGATTGTGGCTAATAATTCACAGATGATAATTTTTAGTACAAAATCTTAATTTATCGTAATACTACATTTGTAAAAATATAATTTCATAGAATAATGAAATAAAAAAATACAGTAGGTATTGTAGTTTTTCTTCATCTACCTTAGTGCAGATTATCATCTTCGCCAATATTATATTTTAGTAGTTTTAAAACAATATGAATAATAATTATGTAGACTATAATTTTGTGTTTTCACAACAAAAAATTAGCTATATGAAGTTGTTATGTAAATATACACCTTGTAAATTTTTGAACCCGATTATTCTTATGATTAATGTTTAAACTATTACTGAATAACAACATTTATTATAACCAGATATCAACCTGCCTCCTCTCTTCTACAGAAAAAAAAATATATATGCACATCAAGTACCACGATTACAAATGTAGGACAAAAATAAAATAATCAAATTTATACACATTAATCATTGTAATACAGAAAATATTGAAAATAACTACTAGAAAAACATTCTATAATACTATTTTTCAAAATAAGAAGGTTTTACTAATTTAGTAAAATTTAAAAATATGTAATTTCTTAATAATATTTAAACTAAAAGAGATTAACTGAAATGAGGGTTCTATGCAAATAATATATTAAATGATAATTTTAAAGGAACATTAAGTAAGATAATAATTATTTTCCTTCGTTTTCTATTTCCGCAGTAAGAATAACAATTATTAATGAGAAAATGGAAAACTTATGTTTCTTAAAATTTCAATGTTCAAAAAAAAATTCAACTTCTGCTTTCTAAAATGAACAATCTATAATTCCATATAAAATATAAAGTTACAATTTTTTCTACAAAGCAGAATTGTTACAGCTATTCATTTTATATATTTATGTATATGTAATATTTAATAATGGCAAACATAGTAACTGAATATTTCAAGTTTAAATACTTATTTATTTAAACTTAGTACTTAAGGCCTGAATAAAGGTAAGCAAGGGGGTTTATCTATGAATTCCTTATATAATTTTATCTAATTTAGATTTTAGATATAAAATCTAAGGATTACATTTTTTTTTAAATTATATATATTTTACTTTCTATGATATACGTCATAACATATTCGCTATACCTTTGTACATTAAAAATACTATTATAGCTGTTAAAATAATAATAAACAACGCAACTATTAATTACCAGTGTGGTAGGGCTTCCTAACGAATTCTAAAAATTTAAATATGTATTTATTAGTGTTAGCCTTAGACAATAACAAACCAATTACTGTATAAACTCGCAATTATTACTAGATGAGTGCCGTAAAATTCGGAGGAAAATTTTTTAGATAAATACAAAGTGATCTGTTTGTCATAAGCTTTACAATTTCTTATGAAATATATACAAAATTAAATAAAAATGTTTTACAAAAATTAATAACTTATAAATCAAGAAGTACATAATATTTCTTGTTTTAACGGTTGTTAAGTATACTTAATTATATTATATCATCACCTATAACTCATAGAAAAGTCAACTTTATTTTTTTAAATAGCTACATAAATATTTAATTATACATACAGTGCTAACTATCATTAGTGTTCTTTTTTAATATAGTTTTAAACAAGATACATTTTATGCAAAAAATTGTTTATATTATTTATTTATTTAACTTATAAAATAGAAAATGATTGAATTGAGAAAATGACGTTTCGATAGTAACATTTAGACAAGTACTTCATAAGTTAAGATTTTTTTTTAAATATCAAATTGGAGATTGGTGCGGGTATGACTATTTATATCATTAAACTTTTCACGGCCGCACTCCTCCCAACAATATATAAAAATGTTAAATACATTCAAAGCACTGGTCCAAAAGTTATTATCAACGCATCATTTTCTATTTTATAAACTCGTTAAATACCTATGCTGCTATTAAAAAAAATTAAGTTGACTTTCTTATAAGTAACTATAATAGTAGCTGATAAATAAAAAAATATATGTAAGTAAAAAAAAAAAATTCTCCATATTGCACTTATTTTATGAGAAATTGAATGGATTATGATAAATAAATTACCCTGTTTCACGGTCTTATATCACTATTCACACAGAAAACTTTGAATTTTGCCTTAGAATAAGAATATGAAATACGTAAATTTTCAAATTTTACAGAAGACTACATGTAAGTTAAAAGTGAATTTTTTTAATTCAGTCTTTGAAATTTGTTACTTTGACTAAATTTGAAAAATTTAGAAAACATAGTGATGCATAAAAACACAAAATTTATAAAGTCATAAAAATGCATAAAATTTAACCAACACTTGATATCATATATTTTTAACTACTTTATATCGTAAAAAATTTGTTTCATATTTAACATAAAACAAATATGTTTTAAATCAAAACAAAAACAAGAGCAAAATTATTTCTTTCGTTATTACTCCCTGGCGTTTTGAATATAAAGATAAATACATTTTATTATTATATATTTAGAGTATGTTTCTGAGTATTTATACATTAAGCATCTTCTGCTATATAAATCCGATTATTATTTATCAAATTATTTACGAAATAAAAATAATATCATGAAAATTTTTCTTTAGCTGTTTTTAATTACATACAATGTACATATATATGATTTAGATCTAATCATCGTGTACTTTTTTTTTTTGTAAATCCCTTCCTTATAAGAGTTAACATTAATTTTTTTAAATTAAACATACAAAAATATATAATAGATATATAAATATTAATTTTCAAAAAATCGCTTACATAAATAAAAACTATAACTTGTATAAGGTATAAAAAATAAAGTGGTGCATAAAATGTAAAAAAATTGTAAATTATAAAAATAAGATTATAGGTATAGACAACTAGTAAGTTAATATATGCTAGTTGTATAAATGTATATAATTATTTTTACATTTTTTTGATCATGGTATCACGTAACCCCACCAATTATTAGATTTACAAAATTAAAAAAAAAAAAGAAATAATAAAACTGACAAAGTCACTTATTTTGAAAATTATTTATTTTTTTGTATTTGAAGAAAAGTTTCAATACAACCGGAAAAAAATTAATTACTTTTTATTTTAAACTTAGTCTCCAAATAATTACTTACAATGTAATACTAACTAAGATTCTTGAACAGGTTCTAAAATGTAAACTCTAGAATTAAAAAATAGATAAAGCTATGAATTCTATGATAATTATTTGATAGTATACGAAAAATATGATAACAGATTAATTCAAATAATTAAGAGGAAAAATGTAAATTATTTTCTTTACTTTCTGAACACTATCTCAAAATTGATCACCGTTGTATCTTCTATGTTATATGATATATGTTCACACCAACCTATTGTTAATTATTAATATCAAATATAACTTATTTTATTTATTGTCTTAGGTAATTTAGTATATTATTGTACCTAACCTTTGTTAATCATAATTATTATAAAATAGGCGGAGAATTGAATTTTCATTATGGTATGACCTTGAAAAATAAATTACTCACATTATGAAACATTGTATCGTTGAGGACGAAAATCAAACCCCTCGAGTCAGTTTTGACTCGAAAAATAGAAATAAACATATTAGCAATTATTGCTCACTTAATAACAAACAAATGAACAATGACAAGTATTTATTTACTAATTCTAAATACTTAAAAATTTTAAATTAAAAAACATTTTCAAAATATAAAAACACAAATCCTGTTGTTTTTGTTCTTATTTTCAAGGACCTTTTTGTTTTATATTTTGATAGATAAATTAAGGTGATTTGCCAGTCCTTGGATATCAATACTGACAATCTAACAAAGAGTTAAGTGTTGAACTGGCATCAGTTAAAAATAAAATTTGTACATACATTGGCATTATTAAAAGGAAGATATATCCTTTCATAATAAAAAAAATATGAATAAAAATTATGATAAAAAATGATGATTCCATTGAACAGGTGCTATACTTAATTTTATAAAACTTTTCTGTTCATTAAATTTGTACATTTTTAAATGTTAAAAGGACATTTCAAAAATGCTTCTACACTTATTTAAAAAAAAAAAAGAAATCAGCTTATGATAGTTTAAAACTTAAGTACATACATTTAATCTAATAAACTGGAATATTTTATCTATAGATAATATAATATATGAATATTTTAATTTACTCTGTAGAGTGGTGTAATTAGGAATTTATTCTGAGGATCTATCTCTCTCATTTCTCTTTCATTGCACTTCTGATTGAGGAGGTAAGGTTTTTTAAGTGAATGAGCAAAAAATCAAGTCATACAATGTGTTGTTATTTTTCTTTTGAAAATTTTTTACTTATGCCACTGTTGAAAAAAGTAAAATGGACCCTCAAAAATTGTTTATTAATATGTGCCTGTCCAAATATAAAAAATGTAGAATATTTAATCCAATATTAGACTAAATTTTTGTATTTTCGAAATAAAAAACATAGGGTTTATTAGAAATTTGCGGCTCCAAATTATTAATTTGTATATATCACCTAAAACACTACAAAGTTGTAGTAAAAAAACTGATATTATCACATATAATTATCTATAAATAGAATTTTATTCATCGAACGGCTCAAATATGGTTCATAAGTTTCCCGAAATATTTCAAAATTGCATTATGTTATGAAGATAAGCTTAATAGTATTGTATAATGAGGAACAATTTTTTATTTAGACCGAATGTGTACAAGCATATTTGAAATGTTTTTACAAGGTATACGTTAGTTTTCAAAATCGAAAATGGGTATACACCGTATACTCAGGATTATTTGTAGGTATGTCCAAACACGATTATTGATTTTCTATGATCCTTATATTACAAGTTCTATTGTTATTATTTTTACAGATAATATTTTCGTGCAAGCCAAAATTTTTGTTATTTACAATGGTATTATTTATGGTAGGTAGTTTTTATTTCAGATTATCTTTCAATTACTTGGTTGGTAGTTATTTTAACGATGCATCATAAGTTACTTGGTATTCACGATTAAATAATAATACAGTAACCGGTTCTATTCGTCAGGTGGGAAAAACAAAATACACTAAATACACAGTTTTATAGACAGGTTTGTAAATTTGAACCTTTTACCTTGGTCTCTATCGAAGGTAATATCCTGAATATCGTTAGAATATTAATTTTAAAGCCCAATTGGCAATTTTTGCGAGTGGAAGAAGTCTACTATAAAAGAGTTTTCAACCAAATTGCAAACAACAGTCGTTAAGCAGACTTCACACAACACTTTTTTTCAAATTCAAGAAAACGTTTATCAACAGATAAGATGGCTTACTACAAGTTGGTGAGTAACACTAATTTAAAATACTGTCATCAATTATTTATGTTATATAAATATACATATATGTTTTTTAAATATATATATATTTAATACACATATGAAGGTATTAGAAATAGATAATCAAAAAATAAAAATTATCTATATCATCATATAGTTTTTTTTTTTGCATTTTAGTTATATTGCGTGCATTTATAAAAAAATTATTTACTAACAGTTATAAGAGTTTATTTGTATTATTTTTTATTTTATTATATTGTTAGCCACGCATGAATATAAACGATAAATCCTAATCGGAAATAACGTAATTAATGAAATTTTAACACATGTTCGTATTCAGTACAATAATTAGCACGATAAAAGCAATTACTTTTAATTGTTAATTCTTATATATAAAGGCAATTCACAGTAAAAACCATATAACTTATCATAGACTATAAATAATACCTTCGAGTTACATAAAGTTTTTCTTTGGAGTTACAATATTTACGGGTCTCTATGGGGTCCGAACCTTCCATGGATATAAAATCATAGTAGTGGGCTATCTGGACCCCTTACAAAATTTCTAAATACTGTTGAGTAATCGAGATTATCCCAAGGTAACAGAGTTTATTTTGCCTTTTCAAAATTTTCGACTTATTGTACTGTAGTAATAAATAATAAAAAACTATTGTTTGATTTAAAATAATTTAAATTTTATATTTTTTACTACTTACGAGTTTTTTAAATCTTCTTTGTTGTTTTTTAAAATTGGTCTGAGTCCAAGTGAATATAAATTTGATATTAATTCAATTTATTAGTAAAACTACTGACATATTTTTTGTTTTTATTTTTCTTTAGACTTTAGCTTTATGCATCGTAAGTATAATAATCATGCAACAAGTATCTTGTGATCCAGAACCACAACATGGTGGACATGGAGGATATGGACACGGTGGCCAATACGGACATGGAGGTTATGGACACGGTGGCCAATACGGACACGGTGGTTATGGACACGGTGGCCAATATGGACATGGTGGTTATGGACACGGTGGCCAATACGGACACGGTGGTCATCATGGAGGTCATCATGGAGGTCATCACGGAGGTCATCATGGTGGATACTAATATTAAATGATCCCAATTAAGTTTACTTAGTTTTATTTATAAACCTACCAATAAAATACTTCCCTTACATTTGTTTAATTAATTTAAACAATAAGTTTGACTATTTTTTTTGCCAAATTATGGCATGCAAATTGTAACACATGCAATATTATAAATATTTATTCTTTAATAAAAAAACTTATTTTTTTAAACAATTTGGTTTGTTATTTAATGGTTAAGTATAATAATAAATAGATAGACGACTTTACTGAAATATACTTCATAAATTCAATAATTCACTACTTAATAATGCCATTTGGTATAGAGATTACACAAAACTTTTGAAAAAAAATATATATTTTAATAATTAAAATGTTTTAATGTTTGAAGTAATTAACATTTTATAGTGAGGGCTACAAATAAGACGCGAATTTTGTTATTTATATCACTAGTAATTTCACGGTCGTACTCTTCCTCCCGCCAAGGAAATCAATTATGTTTGTTGCTATTTCAAAAAATAAAGTTAAAAGGTATAAAATAATGAACATTAAAAATTCTTTGATATAGTGATAAATTGAAAAAAAAACATTTACCTAAAAGAAACCAAAAAAAAATCTTAATATTATTTTTATTATTCGATTAACTAGGTGATTCAAATGTATCAATCTGTATATTATAACTTTTTGAAAAATGTATATATCAGCACAAATTTTTTTTTTCTAAATACATTATAAGTACATATTTCATTTGAAATAATTTTTATTATAATTGGACAAATTCCCCTTATATAGGGGGCGTTCAAAACTTGAAATATTGTAAAAAACATAGATCTTTTTCAACTGAAGTTTTGAAAATGTTCCGGGAATACTGCGTCCTTTAAACATATATCAAATTAAAGATTATTTTATGTACTATAAAATAAAAAAAAAAAAATTGTCCTGACACCTTATCTACTGTGTGTAAATTGCTGTCAAAATTAAAAAAAAAATGTAATATTTGCAATAAAAATCACCTTCTATAAGGATGTTTTTTGTACTTAAAACTACCATAACTTTTTCAAATATTAACAAATCAAAATAATATTTTTTTATATTGAAACCTTAGGTAATTTCCTTTCATTTGAAATCATTTTTTTTTTTGAAAATCTAACACTCATTCTGCTCACAGGGGGATTTAAAATAGCAACTTTTTTAACTTGACTTTTGAAAATGTTCCGGAAATACTGCGTCTTTTATATATATATAAAATTAAAGCTTATGTCATGTACTATAGAATTAAAAAAAAAATTTGTCCCAACGACCTATCTTCTATGCGCAAATGGCTACTGTATTCAAAAATATGCTATTTTTTATTAAAATTCTGGGTTTTGTATTTTATTTTAAAATATCTTATTAGGGGAATACACTGACTTTCATGAATATTATATAATTTAATTGACATAGAATAAAGTTCATAAGACATACGAAATTAAACTTATTAAAATTTTTTTACTTTTTTAAAGTCGAAAAAGTAATTTTTAAATTTGAGTTAGCTTAAATAGCTAATTTTATCATACGACAAAAGCAACGAATAGATGCCGAATGGGTAACAACTGTATCTTTCACGCTTAGGGTACGAGGTTTAAATCCGTCTGTGGCTTTTAATATTTTGCATTTTTTTTTGAGTTAGAATAGAATTTTCAAATCATTTGATATTTATCTCGTTTAGATTCAATAACTTCAATAAATACAAAGGATCTTATTACTATAGTCTCCCCTCGTGAGATGAAATTTATATTCATATTAATATTATTTTACTATGTGGTTCTTTTTGTGGCTACGATTTATTTTGTCAACCCTCACTAGACCTACCTTTTTCAACGATACATCAAATGATTACAATTCGTATTTAGTTTAAGTTATTACTCTTAAAAATCGAAAAAATTTTCCTTATTCAAAAAAAAAAGTATCTAAACCAACTCTTTTCATGCAAACAATTAAAATCATTAATTTCTAATATTCTTAAAGTATTTATTGTCGAATTAGATTTGATATGATATAAGTATTCAACTACAAAAGTAAATAAATTTACTTTGTATATTTAGTAATTCTTTAAATCTATTTGTATGTGCTACTACCAGTCTATAATATTCCAAATTTTGTTGTATATGTTGCTATATAAATCATAAATTAAAAAAAAAATTATTTTTAGTTTCATCTGAATTTAACGATGGATTTTTACAATTATAATTAAGTTCTGAATATTTCCATTGTAAAATCTTTTTAATCACCAAAAGTTAATTAGAAAAGATTACTATGATTTTTATTTAAGTGATCTATTACGATAAAAATGTAAACAAAATCGAACTTTTCTGATAAATGTACTGTAAATAGTAATTATATATTTTCCTGATTGCATTAATCTTAATCATTAATCTGATATTAATCTTAACAATTTCATTTTTTTCTATTTAATAATGTAAATTTCAAACTTGCAAAGTTGAGCTAAAAGTTATGGTAATAAATTCATTTTTTTTTTTTATTATAAACATTCACTTTAAAGGACAAAAAAAAGTAGGTTCAAAATGATTAAATTTAACATATTAAAAATCAAAATCAATAATAATTTGAAAACAATTAATTTTAAAAATTATATAATATATAATTAAAAGAAATACTAATCTGGGTAAAATTAAGGAAATAGAAGTTGATGTTGCTTTTGTCCATCAATTTTTTTAACTCTATTTGTGTGTGCTACTACCAGTCTATAATATTCCAAATTTTTTAGCTTCGATGCGAAGCTGAGAATTAATTTTACTATGATGTGTTTTTTTTTTTTTTGTGTCTGTCACTACTTTTTCTCAGCTCTCACTGGACCGATTTCTTTCAACAATACGTCAAAAGATCACAAATCGTATCTAGTTGGAGACATTACCCTTAAAAATTGAAAAATTTTCGCTCGTTCCCCGCAAATGGGGGAAACATCCAAAAAAATTACAACTTTTAAAATCGGTAAATTTTGTCATATTTTTTCACTTTTTTTTCTTAAAACTTCCATAACTTCTTCAAAAAGAAACAAATCAACATAATTTTTTTTTATACTAAAACCTTAGATATTTCTCTTTCATTTGATATCATTTTTTTGAAAATCTAACACTTAACCTACTCATTGGGGGGGATTTAAAATAGCAACTTTTTTACAAAAACTAAATTTTTTAACTTAATTTTTGAAAATGTTCCAGAAATACTGCGTCCTTTAAATATATGTCAAATTAAAGCTTATGTCATGTACTATAAAATGAAAAAAAAATTTGTCCCGACACTTAATCTTCTGCATGTAAACGGCTGCCGTAGTTAAAAAACGCTATTTTTGTCTTAAAATTTTCGATTTTAAATTTTCAACTTAAAAATGCTATAACTTTTTGAAAAATGTATATATCAGCACAAATTTTTTTTTTCTAAATACATTATAAGTACATCTTTCATTTGACATACTTTTTATTAAAATTGGACAATTTCCCCTTATATAGGGGGCGTTCAAAACTTAAAATATTGTAAAAAACATAGATCTTTTTCAACTGAACTTTTGAAAATGTTCCGGAAATACTGCGTCCTTTAAACATATATCAAATCAAAGGTTATGTTATATACTATCAAATGAAAAAAAAAAATTTGTCCCGACATCTTATCTTCTATGTGCAAATGGCTGTCGAAAATTTAAAAAAAAATGTAATGTTTGCGATAAAAATTACATTTTATCGGGATGTTTTTTGTACTTAAAACTGCCATAACTTTTTCAAAAATGAACAAATAAAAATAATATTTTTTTGTATTGAAACCTTAGATATTTCCCTTTCATTTGATATAATTTTTTTTGAAAATCTAACACTTATTCTGCTCACTGGGAGGATTTAAAATAGTAACTTTTTTACAAAAAATAACTTTTTCAACTTAATTTTTGAAAATGTTCCGGAAATACTGCGTCCTTTAAACATATATAAAATTAAAGCTTATTTTATGTACTACAAAATGAAAAAAAAAAATTTGTCCCGACACTTTTTTTTCTACATTTAAACGGCTGCCGTAGTTAAAAAAACACTATTTTTGTGTTAAAATTTACGATTTTCGATTTTAAATTTTCAACTTAAAAATGCTATAACTTTTTGAAAAATGTATGTATCAGCACAATTTTTTTTTTCTAAATACATTATAAGTACATCTTTTATTTGACATACTTTTTATTAAAATTGGACAATTTCCCCTTATATAGAGGGCGTTCAAAACTTGAAACATTGTATAAAAAATAGAACTTTTTCAACTTAACTTTTGAAAATGTTCCGGAAGGTCTGACACTTTTATATATATCTTAAATTAAAGCTAATGTAATATACTTTAATTTGAAAAAAAAAAATTTGACCTCTGGACTTGTCTTCATGGTGAAAATGACTACCGTAAGCTAAAATATGTTATTGTTGTGAAAAAATTCTTGATATAATATTTTACATTTTTTAACATTAGGATGCTATAACTTTTTAAAAAATGCATGAATCAATTCTATTTTTTAATAATAAATATTTATATACCCCTTTCATCCGGCACGCTTTTTTTGTAAATCGGATCATATCCCTTTAACAAGGGGGGTCAAAACTTTAAGTCGCCCCTTGTAAGAAGAAATTTCTTATTCGTATTAAAATTATTTTACTATATTTTGAGTTTTGGCTTCGATGCAAAGCTGAGAAGATATTTTTTTGTGACTATCATTTATTTTCTCTGTTCTAACTTGACCTACTTTTTTCAACGATACGTTAAATGACTACAATTCGTATCTAGTTGAAGATATTACCCTTATAAATTGAAAAAAAATTTCAATTTATCAATTAAACAGTTAGTTATTCCATGTTCTCCATAAAGACAATTAAAATCATTCATTTCTAATGTTTTCAAAGTATTTATTGTCGAATTAAGTTTGATATGTTAGGTTTCAACTACAAAATTTAATCATTTTACTTTGTAATTTAATAATTTTTTTACTCTATTTGTGTGTGCTACTACTAGACTATAATATTACAAATTTTTTTGTAACATGTTGCTATATAAATCATTTCTAAAAAAAATGATTGTTTTTTCTCCTGAATTAACAATTGATTTTTTCAAATATAATTAAATTTTATAATACGCTCAATTGAGTAAATCTTTTTAACTACTTTGTTTTGATTGGTACATTTAGTTAAAGTAAATCATTAAAATTAATTAAGTTCTCAATATTTCAATTATAGAATCTTTTCAACAAACAACAAAAGTTCCTAGGAAATTATTACTATTACTTCTATTTAAGTTATCTATTACCATAAAAATGCAAAAAAATATTGAGCTTTTCTGATAAATTTACAATAAATAGTAATTATAAAACTTTCTGACTGCATATTGATCTTAACGATACAATTTTTTTAATTGTCCATAAAATTTTCTATTTAATGATGTCAATGTCAAACTTACCAATTGAGCTAAAAGTTATGGTAAAATAATTTTTTTTTTTATTATAAACATTTACAACAATCAACTTTAAACGATTAACAAAATAGGTTAAATATGTCATTTTCCTTATTTTTAACTTATTAATAATCAAATTAATATTAAATATTATATCAAATCAGTATTAATTTAAAACAATTTTTTTTGTTCTTAATTATTTTTTTTTATATGTAAAAACTATTTTTTAATAATATTAAAACTTAGAAGTTATAGAAAAAGTCTAATTGCACATTTTAAAACATCGCGAAAAGTTGATTTAGAATAGTATATTTTTGTTTCTGATGGAAGTTCCTTGTAGTCCAGTGTATAAAACTTATAACTTTGTTAATTGTTATAACTTTATCAAAAATGACCAAATCAGTATATTTTTTTTTATTTAGATGCATGTCTTTATCTATCATTTGGTTTTTTTTATAAATCTAACCCTTTACCTGCCCACAAGAGGGATTCAAAATATTAACTTTTTTTTTTTTAGTTAAAGTAAATCATTAAAATTAATTCAGTTCTGGATATTTCAATAGTAGAATCTTTTTAAATATCAAAAATTACTTAGAAATGATTACTATGATTTCTATTTAAGTGTTCTATTACGATAAAAATGCAAAAAATAATGAGTTTTTCTGATAAATTTACAATAAATAATAATTATAAAACTTTCTGACTGCATATTAATCTTAAAAATAACATTGTTTTAATTCTCATAAAATTTTCTATTTAATGATTCATTCTAGTCAACGAAGGAGTAATTTTGCAGAATAGCAGAAAAAATTCCCAACAAACTTTTTTTTTTTTTGTTTTAATTAGGCAATTGGTGGATTATTCCAAAAGCAACATCAACTCTTATTTCTTTAATTATATCATGATTAGTAGTTCTTTGATTTTAAAATATAATATTTGAATATATACTAATTATAATTATTAAATTTAGTATGAAATTGATATTTAATATTTTAATTTAAACGGAGAAATTATAAAAATAATAAAGAAGTTATATTTTGCTTTACTTTTACGTGTATAAATATTTGAAGGGCTTGATACAATAATTTTCAATAAAAACTGTTTGTTACTATAAAAAAATGCACTGGACTACAAGGAACTTTCATCAGAAGCAAAAATATACTTTTCTAAATCAAATTTTCGCGTTGTTTTCAAATCTGCAAGTAGACTATTTCTATCACTTCTAATTTTTTATATTATTACTAATTATATATATAAAATAATAATTAAAAGAAAAAAAAATTTGTTTTCAAATTATTACTGATTTGATTTTTAATATGTTAAAAATAATCAGTCCAAATTTTCAATTTTAACCTATTTTTTTGGTTCTTTAAAGTTGATGAAAAATTTTTGATAAAGATTTATGAAAGTTTATAGTAAAAAAAAATTGAATATATTACCATAACTTTTAGCTCAATTATAAGTTTAAAACTGACATCTAGGCCAGTCAACAAAGAAAAAATTTCTTAAAAAATTCCCAACCAAAT